GTCACTTCTCTTGCAGGTGATTGCCCTTGTGATGGATGCCTTCACAGATACCGATATCTTCAGTGACCTTCAGGATGCCTTTAACAACCGCAAAGTCCCTGTCTACATCCTTCTTGACCAAGACTCTCTACGACATTTCTTGGAAATGTGCGACAATCTGGGAGTCTGTCCTGAGCAGGAAAGAGTAAGTACTGACTGTGGGTGCCTGGGAGTGGTTTGGCTTTATTTTTTGTGCTACAGTTTATGGTTACGGATGTCCAAGTTACGCTTCTGTAAACCAGCAGACTCCCTTGGAAGATTACAGCGTCCTGTCTGTTTGGTAACTGATGTGAAAGCGGATTTTCTGACATGTTTCTCAACTTCTGAAGATCAAGGCTCAATATCTCACGATTTCAGTCTCTAACACAACATGTGAAACTGCTCACAAACTTGGCAAAAGCCATGCAGAAAAGGCACATGTCCTGCACTATGCTCCCTGTGTGCAGGAGCTGCAGCCTACCCTGTGCTGGGTTGGGTGTGCACTGTGATCCGCATCCTGAGGAAGCAATTAGTTTTGCAAGATGTAAGTAGCTTTGTTCTTTGGCTCAAGGAACTGCTTGCTGAAGAAGCAGAAATACAGCTCGAGGGTAGTATAGCTCTTTCCTAATACACAGTTCTTTCCTAATACACAGTTACTTTCTTTTGAAAGGGTTTAGATTATGTGACCCGGGTGATTTATTAATTCAGAGGAATATAGGCTGACATAACTGTTACAGCATGGCTTGGTATGGCTTATGTTCACTTCAGTGAGAGCTTCTCTGGATGGGGAACACTTCTAGCCTCCTGGGCACTAATGAATCAGAACTGGCTGTTCTCTTTACAGACTCTCCTAATCTAACAGAAATTTAACTATTAACACGTGCAGACAGTGTGAGGAAGCTCATTTTGTTGCTGCCTTCCATAGTGTGCATGGCTGCTTTTAAGTGGAATTGCTAACTAAAACTTTTTGAAAGTTACTTAGATCTGCTATTATGTTTTCCCTTTTCTGAAACAGCTGCTGAGAATTCGAGCCCTCACGGGGAGCACGTACTACCTGAGATCAGGTGCCAAAATTGTTGGGAAAGCCCACGAGAAGTTCATGTTAATTGATGGCATTAGAGTGACAACAGGTTCCTACAGGCAAGTACTGGGGTCTGATGGTGCTAGTGAAGCTACAGAAAGGGGGGGTTCTGCAAGAAGAATGTATGACCTTTGCTGTTTGCCTGGTATTAATGAAAGCCAGTGGCAAGCGGACTGGCTGAGCCTACGTGGGGCTAATGCAAAACTGGAAACAGCTTTGGAAAACTCTTTTGCACAACTTGTTGCTAGCAAAGCACCTGGCCACGGATAAATAGAGTCCTTCCTGAAGGAGAATGAATAGTTTATGAACTTTATACCCTCCTTTATGCACAGCAGTTCTAAGCTAAGTCTTGCTATCTGTAACTGTATGTGTTGAAATGCACTGGAGATTAACTGTGGCTCTTGGTTTGTTCCTGATAGTTTCACATGGTCCGATGGGAAGCTGAACAGCAGTAACTTGCTGCTATTGTCAGGGCAAGTGGTTGAACACTTTGACCTCCAGTTCAGGATTCTTTATGCCCAGTCAATGCCCATCAGCCCTAAGTGTCTGTCCAGCTGCAGGAACAGTGGGATATTCAATCACCTGGTGAGCAGAATAGAGTCCTCTAAAGAATATACTGTGGAAGGCAACTTGAGAGCAGAATTTGCCAGATTGTCCAGTACTCCAAAGAAACCATTGAAAGAACCAGATCAGGCTGAAGATAGTTCTGGAGAAAACTCCTGTAACCTGGGGCATTCTTGCCCCTCTGATGAGGCAATCGAGTTCAGCAATCGAGTGGCCATTGTGGATTGGAGAAGCACATCGACTCAAACTGGCCCATGGGAAGAGAAGCAGGCAGTGACTGTGTGTAATGCTGCCACGCAGACCTATTTTGTGACAGCAGAAACTGGCACGCAGGCATCAGTCACTGCTAGAATGACGGGCACTCAGACTTCAGTCTTGTTGAAAACTGCAGTGACACAGACAAGGGAAAGTGAGTACATAGAAACACCGCTGCTTCACAGAAAGTTGTCAAAAGAAGGATCTTCTCTGTCTGGAAAGGTTGTATCAAGTTCTAGTCTGTGGTCACTGTCTTCATCCTCATCCCAGTGCTCTCTTGCCAGCTCTACTGGCTCGGCATCTTCTCTTCGGTCCTTTGAATATCCTGTCCGTCACAGGGCAGAGTATTTCCAAAAGCTGCACAAAGAGAGGCAGTTCCACTACTCCACTATCAGGTCGAAGCTGAGCCACATGGTGCACATCCTATCCCGGAGGGGCCGTGAGCCTGAAAGCTACGTGTCCCAGTACATGGGAAGATGCCATTTGAAACAGAGGCGTGACATCAGTGCCAGCTTGCGCAGCCTCCGGGACCTTTCCCTCTATTCTCAGAATAAACGATGACTCCACTCAATGCAGAACACACAATCTCCAGTCTCAAACTTCAGTCACTCTGTTCCTGCTGATTCCACTTCCTTCCAGGACTTTTCTTAATACACATGTGCATACCCCTTCAGCACTTTGTTTTATACTATGCGGTTTAAGCAATAAAAAGGTGTTTATTTGTATGATAAGTACTTGCCTGTTCCTCTTATATGAGTTAGTGGTGAAGGTTCATTTTAATTTTGGATGTATAACCTGGAAAGTAAACTGATTACTGTGTCCTAGGATTGCTAATGCTCTGGCTTTGTGTATATTTGGCAGAACCGCAGTCGGAGGGGTCCTGCCTGGAGGCAGATTCAGTGACATCAAGAAATGCTCCTTTTTTTTTTTTTTTTTCAGTATTGGCTTTTTTACCTATTTTATCTTCAGCATGAGGGGAAACAACCTTTATAAAGAGCCATAAAGCTGATTTTATTCTGACTTCAGCAATCTATACATTACTCATCCATTAAAGTTGTGAAGGGTCTAATGGAGCTGCTGCTGCAGGTTCTTATCTTCAACTGTGTCCCTTGCCCATTGTTCAAACCTTCTGAAATGGCCTGAACTAATTTAGCTCTTCAGCTTGATCATCCCCTCATGTTTTTGTGTAGGTATACGCACACACACTTTTGTGCATGTACATATATGTGTGTTTGTGTGTATATATGTACATATATATGCACACATTCTCAGAAGAGCATTACTTTAAAACCAGGACGGGGAAGTAGCAACTTAATACTGTTGTAGCTGTTACTTATTTTAGAGACAGTCCTGATGTAAATGTTTTCAGTATTTGGAACTAAAAGATGGATCTGTTGGACCTATATGACTACTGATGGGAAGGTGTTGCTGAAGTGTTGGGTTTTGTGCTTATGAGCAGAGCTGAGATGGTATCTCAGCTGTATCCTTATGGTATCTTACTATACCTTGCTGTTCCACACCTGTCAGACTCCTCTTTTGGAATGACTTCAGGGAACTTTGTCTCTTGTACAGCTTGTTACACAGAGTAAACAATTTCAGTTGTAGCACTGTAAAACGAGCTTCCAGCTCTGGCTCAGTCTAGGAACATATGAGCCATCTTTTTTCTATAAAGAGACCTGTACAAAATGTAGAGGTGAGACAATGACTGAAGGCACATGACAAAGCCCCTGCTTAAAAGCAAACTGATATGCACTACAAAATGTTATGGGTTATGTTTTGTGATGTTGTACAAGTATGAGAGTGAGGAAAATAAAAACTCTGTTTCCTGCTCTGCTTATCCTTTCCCCACTACTAACTTGGGTTAAGGAGCTGCACTGTTGCTCTAGTTTTTCAATATATTCTGTTTTCAGTATTAAATGCATCCTAGGTTAAGTTGCTTTGCAGGGACACGATGTGGCTCTGCCAGCAGCAGTCTGTGCATGTGTCTGCGCTCGCTGGATTACTGGTCTGAGCAGTGTGGAGGTTCTGTTAAGACCTGACCTGTGCTGCTCTCCACTGGCCCTGCATGTGAGTGACCAACCGGCCTATTCAGCCAAGTCAAACTGGAGTCTGGGTTGTGTATTTTCCTGTTTATCCACACTTGTGTCCAGTAGATGGCACATTTAAGCTGTTGTCTTTAATATTCCCGTAAACAGCAAAGAATGGGGGAATAAAGAAAAATATCCAAACCACAAAAAGGCTGCAACTCCAGTGTACAGAGAAATGCTTTTTTCTACTAACTTAGGTGTTCCCACCTCTCAAATCATATCGATATCTATGTAGGATAAAGAGGTTTAGCTACTTTTATTGCTTGGATTTCAAAGCAACCACTCCTTCCGTAAGGAGGGGGGCAGATGTACCGAGAGGTGCAGGCTGAGGAGGAAAATTTCTGTCTGTGCTCAAAGAGGTAAGAAACTGGTCCTGTGAGCTGAACACGGGGAGTGAAGTAGGTAGCAGAAAGGGAGTTGAGATACACTGTCAAGGGCAATTTCGAGTGCCTGTGCTCAGCAGTGCTTCTGTGTATGTAAAATCAACTTGCGTGCTATGTACCTTTATTACATTGTGCGGCGGTTACGGTGCTCTCACAAGAACAAGCAGCAGTTTACAAATAAACTCATTCTGCCGTGAGGGTTTTCACCTGATCGTTGCAGAGCTGTGTTTGCTGTTTGCTGTTTTGGACCCAGATGTTTCTTAAGCACGTCCGTGGGCTTGGCGTTCTCCGGCTACCCGGGCCTCGCAGAGCAGGCTGCCCTGGGGCGCCTGCCCGGGGGAGGGACTTGGCCCTCCTCAACCTGGGGACCAGGTCTTTGATTACCGGGTCAGCAGCGCCAGGGCTGTATTTAACTCTCCCCGCTTAATGCGAGCTCCGTGTGCTTGCGGATGCTTCTCCCTGGGCAGCTGATCCCAGCCGCCTCTGCCAGCCGCCGGGGGGAGCGGAGCCTGCTCGACCGCCCGCTGCTGCCGCGGGAAGGGCGGGGGGGCGGAGAAGAGCCACGGAGGGTGGGGCCCGCCCGCGGAGCCGCTATAAAGCGGCGGCCGGGGGCGAGCCGAGCCGGTCGGCGCCCCGCGCCATGGCGAGTCCGTCGCAGTGGCTGGAGGAGGGCGCCGGGCGCTGGTCGCCGCGGCCGCCCGGGCCGTACAGCGAGGCGCAGCGGCTGGCGCTGGAGGAGCTGGTGGCGGGCGGCCCCGAGGCGCTGCGCGCCTTCCTGCGGCGGGAGCAGCTGCCGCCGTTCCTCTCGGAGCCCGAGGTGCAGGCGATCGCGCGGGGCGCGCTGCCGCCTGCCGCGGCCCCGGAGCCGGCGGCCGAGCCCTTCGCCGGCGCCTCCCTCGACGCCTCGTCGCTCACCTACTTCCCCGAGCGCTCGGACGTGGAGCCGCCCGCCCTGGAGCTGGGCTGGCCGGGCTTCGCCAGCGGCGCCTTCCGCGGGCTCACGCGGGTCGAGGCGCACTTCCAGCCCGGCTGCGGGGACAGCATCTACGGCTGCAAGGAGGCGGTGCGGCGCCAGATCCGCTCCGCGCGGCAGGTCAGTGCGGCCGCGGCGGGGCTGCTGCGTGCTCGGATGCGCCTGGGGCCCTGCTCCAGCGGGGCTGCGACCCGGGACGGGGATCGGCGACGGCATCGACGGGCGTCCCCTTCGGGTGGCGCTCAGCGGGGCCGAGCGGCTTTAAAACCGCCGTCGGGCAAAGAACGCTTCGTTGGAGCAGCTCTGCTCTGGAGCCAGGCTGAGAGAGCTGGGCTGGGTCAGCCCGGACAAGAGAAGGCTCCTCAAGGGGAGACCTGAGAGCAGCTCCAGTGCCTAAAGGGGCTGCAGGAAAGCTGCAGAGGGGCTTGGGACAAGGGCCTGCAGGGACAGGCCAAGGGGAATGGCTTTAACCTGCCAGAGGGGAGACTGAGATGAGCTCTTAGGCAGAAGCTCTTCCCTGGGAGGGTGCTGAGGCGCTGGCACAGGGTGCCCACAGAAGCTGTGGCTGCCCCATCCCTGGCAGTGTTCAAGGCCAGGTTGGACACAGGGGCTTGGAGCAAGCTGCTCTGGAGGAAGGGGTCCCTGCCCGTGGCAGGAGTTGGAACTGGAGGAGCTTTAAGGTCCCTTCTAACCCAAACCAGTCCGGGATTCTATTATTCTTATCAAGGTGTTCTCCCACACTGATGAAAGTACAAGCATTACAAAGCTCATTCAGGGGGTTGACACCTGAGAGTGACATATTCCTGGCTCTCTTAATCACTTCTTGTGTCCATGTCCTGCACCGGGTACAGGCAAACGTTTGTGTTCAGTCTATGTGTTTTGTTGTTGGTTTAGGTTTTTCTTATACTGTTTGTTTTCTCACTTGAAAAGTTTGATAGACTCTGGAGAACAAACACTTTGGAAATCAGCTCATCATTTTCTTCTGGCAGTGCTTTTGAAGAAAATATCTGTTCCTGGGGAAAAAAAATCTCTCTTGCCAAGGAATCGGAGACCAGATTTGCCTCCCACAGAAGCAGATGCGTGGTTTTGCTATAAGTCAGGGTTAGGAAGAAACTTGAAGTAATGATGCACTTATTTTGTTACTGTTGTGCTTCTTCCGAGATATTCCATCACATAGCCACATTGAACTCGGTGCTCCTGTTACACCCAAGTTATTAACGTGGATGAAGAAGACTGGCAGCAAAATGTCTTTCTTTTTCTCATGTGAAATACTTGTTCATGAGCTCACTTAAGGTTTTGGAGAGGTGTCAAGTGTCTCTCTGCCTGTGTAGGTCTTGGCAGTGCTCTGGAGTTGGGGGGAAAGGAGCAAACACTCAGTTTTCTGTAAGTTTTCCTGGAAGGTGAAGTTATGTAGTAAAAAAGGGAATGCTTTAGAATGACCTTAATTAAAACCCATGAGCAACTGACTAGATGCAGGAGCTCCGACTGCTGCTAATTCATGATGAACTCTGATTTTTAAAGACAGAAAAGGTGTCTTTCCGCAATAGGCTTTCAGGGTAGATTATCTGTGACTATGGAACCAAAACAGAAACAAAAGAAGCTTCAATGTCCACTGTTGAAATTACAGGATAATCTTAAGGTCCTTTCCAACCCAAACCATTCTATGATTCTATGATAAATCAGTTAAATGATAGCAAAACTGGGGCAAAGAATCTTTAGCAACAATTTCTGCCCATAAGCTCAGTTTTTTTTTTCTGATTTATACAGGGACAGGATCATAGTGAAGGGCGATGTATATTGTATCTCCCGTACCTCAGTGTACTATACTCGGTAATCACCTTTACTAAAACATCCTTCTCTTTGCAGAAATTTATTCTAATCAGTTTTTTTTCCTTTCTATTACATCTGTAAATGTTCCAGCGGTCCTGTGAACAACAAATGGATATATCAGATCACAGAAGTCTGTCCCATGTTTCATAACCACCAACCAAAAAAAAAGGGGGGGGAAGACAGAGATAGGGGGATATTTAAGTTGAAGGTCAAATGCCTCCTGTGCCATCTGCCTTGGGGTGCTGTGGAACCAGCCTAATGATTTCTTCTGAAACTTGTTGCAGATGATTGCCCTGGTGATGGATTCCTTCACAGACACTGATATCTTCAAAGATCTCTTGGAAGCTTGTAGCCAGCGGCAAGTTAAAGCCTATATCCTTCTAGATCAGTCTTCATTTTCCCACTTTCTAAAAATGTGCAAGGATCTGGGAGTTGACCTTGAACAGGAAAAGGTGAGCCTTGTCATATTCATAGGGACAGACTTGATCCTCTTATGGCTGTGATCTTTGAGGTATCACAAGAAGAAACTGTTGTATCTGCTGCCACAATTTAAATGGGGTTTATGTAGCTATAGCTCTTTCTTGAAGATTTAAGCATAAGAAGGAAATGAATAGAGAAACTGAAATCTTTGTAAATGGATGTTACAGGTGCTTTCTGAGCACAAATACTAATTGAATATTAAAGGCAATGCAGGAAGAATGTCCAGTTCCTAAAGCATGAGTGGAGTTGGTCAGGCTCACTGAGACTTTGCAGGTTGGTGGAGAAGCAGGTTCTTGGGGCTCTGTGGAACTTGTTCCCTCTGAGGTTAAGTGACAGGAGTTTTTACAGCCAGATTTTGCACAACCAGCTTATGGGTTTGCCCCTTAATGCCATCTCTTTGCCTACTAAAGACAAAATTATCATTTGTTTTGTAGAGGGTGGATCTTGTGCCATTGTGAGCAGCCTTTGCTAGTTCCTCAGTGATCACTGTTGTGTGTTACTCCTTTAAACACAATCGTTTACTTTGAAATCCACATGACACCTATCTTTAACAGTTGATGAGAATTCGAAATATCACGGGGAACACATACTACACAAGGTCGGGTGCCAAAATTGTTGGAAAAGTCCGTGAGAAGTTCATGTTAATCGATGGCATTAGAGTGACAACAGGCTCCTACAGGCAAGTGCCAATTTCTTTATGTTGCTTAGCATGATTTCTTTACATGGAAAGGAAAATCAGCCGTGTTGCAAAACTGCTTTCCTTGTCAGAGTAAATGTGTAATGTTTGTCCTAAAAAGTGCACGCTGCCTATCATTTGGATTATAGGAATGATTTAACTTAATATGATGAAAGAGAATTTTCAGTTAATACTACCATTTATTTTGAATTAACTCAAATTTTTCTCATCTTTCCTTTGCTAGTTTCACGTGGACAGATGGGAAGCTGAACAGCAGTAACATTTTGATCCTGTCAGGTCCTGCAGTTGCACACTTTGACCTGGAATTTCGGATTCTTTATGCACGGTCAAAGCCTATCAACCTCAAAGAGTTATCCAGCTGCAGGAAGAATAAGGTGTTGGACCAGGTGGTCAGTATAACAGTGGCTTCCAGAGACTTGACCAGAATGGAGTTTTTGTATCTTAGAGCGTTTGTAGGGAATCTCAAAAGGAAGCGAAGCTGGCTGCATGCCTCGAGGGAGGCCGTCTACGTGTCAAATAATGCAATGCATGCCTCTCCTCCACTGACTAAGAGGAATGGTTCCCTAGTTATGAGGCCACATTGGATCATAGAGAGATGAATTGCACGTTCACTCAGTGCGAGAAGCAGAACCTCAGGAACCACATCCAGTTGTCCATGTCCAGTGCTGTCTCACAGAATGTCCGTGAGAGCAGCTGGGAAACAAACCTTGAACTGAGAGAAGTGATCCTGGCATTGTGGGTTCGTTCAAAGACCACTATAATGCAGATCAACACATGCAGTTAGGGTATTGTCTTCAGCTCAGATGTGTTTTTGGAAAAGAAACAAAACCCCTCTTAACACCTGGAAAGCCATTATTGACTTCTAGTATCTGTCAGCCACTCTCACATGTATTCAGCTGATGGGTTACCAGTGGCTTAGCTCAGTAACTCAAATCTTTTTTTAAAGTAATTTAGGTGTAGGAAATATGTTGCTTAAAAGTCTTCCAAAGATGAATAGCAGGACTGCTGCACGGCACTGGAATCAGTCCTGTGTGGCACAAGCTCCCTATGAATGTTTTAATGACACAGAACTGAAGCAGAGTAACCATAGCCTAGAAACAGGTAAATCAGTACCATGTTACTGGTCCTCAAATGTTACATTATCTTTATGCGAGGCTGTGCTGCCTGGCGGGATGAGGTAACACAGGTGAACAAGGGTTTTGATTGAATTCCAAATGACCTTTTCTTAATTATAAGAATGCTTGGCTTGCTGGACATCATGCAATAAATATCTATCTAAATAGACACATATTTTTAGAAAAAAAAAAAACAAACCCTTTCTTAACACCTGGAAAGCCATTATTGACTTCTAGTCAATATCTAGTCTATCTAAATAGATATTTAGAAAAATTTAGATAAAAATCAATAAATGAATATCTAAAGTATTTATTAGTTGAGTAGATCTGAAATTTGTGAAGCTGCTGCTGCTTCTCAAAAGCCTTACTTCAACCAGGCATGCAATAATGTGAAAATCAGCAACAGAACCATTTATTCTCAAGGTTTCATGCAAGTTTGATTTTTTTTTTTTTAATCAGTTTGTAGAGAAAACCAAAAATCCCAAATGAATAGGCTATCTGTATCCTCCCAGGCAGCTGTGCATGGAGGCACTGAAGTCCCAGCAGCCTGCTAGTGCAGAAACTTGTCAGTCCAACTAACGAGTGGCAGCTGTAGCAAAAGCAAAGGCACACCGTTCCTCAGGTTGCTCTTGAGGCTCTTGCTACTGCAAAAAACTCAGGTATATGCTTGCATAAGTGTTGTGTGGGTTCTAAGCTTCAAAAGGAAGGTTAAAACTTAGCTGGGGCACTTCATACGCAACTCTGCTAAATCTCACCAGGATAACGTTAAACTGGAAACTTAGAGCTCACAGAAACGTTTTTTTGGACACTGCAATGATGTACTGGTTAGGTTATGACTAATCTGCATCCCTTTTCTTCTGCACTTAACGCTCATGGAAATGTAATAGTTCTGACTCTCCTAATTTGTAAATGTTCAATAGTTTATAGTTCAATAGTCTTGACTTTCATCCAGATGTAAAGAAGTTTGAAATATATGTATTTTTATTCTTGTGTTTTTCACAAGCCAAACCTATACAATGTTGTACTCTATGCAGAATATTGTTTTTGCAATCCTATTTTCACAATAATTATCTGTATATGTTTTCTCAACTGTAAGTTTTTAACTTTATCATTCATCTCATCATTTAACAGGTAACTCCACGTGCCATTAGTAGGACTTTTTCTCAATAGTTGCTTAATATCTTGATGATACAAAATAGTGTGATAAGTTGTGTTTATTTCTGATAGAGTGGACTTAATCTAGTTATAAATTTCAATGTGTTTTTTTCAGAATTTTAAGAATGTCTTTAATTCTAACTGAATAACCTCTTTCTCAAGTGATACCTAGACTTGACTTAAAAAGTGGCGGTGGAGGTACAGCGTTGGGAAGTGTGGTTTTGTGTTAATCCACAACTGCACTGCTACTGTGTCCAGTCATTCTCGAAGAAGGCGAGTGATTAATAAGTATACAAAATGTGTTATTTTCCATGAGCATTAATTTTGACAGCATTACTAAACTTACTGGAAGCCGTTTCTTTCTTTTTTTTTTACTCCAGCCTATACTTAATTAACTCAAAATTTACATTCAATTTGATTCACCAGCCACTGTCACAGGCTGTAATGAGCCCGCGGTAGGGCACCACTGGATCTATTAATGACTGTTAACTGTTTTCTTTCTAGTCCTTCAGCTTCCTGGTGTAAAGTGCCACAGCTGTGGTGCACTTTAGTGTAGTGTGGAGGCATCCTTCATGTGGAGCAGGGAGGTGATTAGTTTTACTTGATCAACAAGAGAAGGACTTTTTTAGGCAATCTCTCAATTCTGTTAAATCCTAGCTTCTCCCCCAGGTTATACGTTTTAGTCACATCTGGAGGGCTTGGCTCAGACTTGCCCTGGTCCTGCAGTATTTGTTTTACTGTTTTCCTCTGGGCTTGGAGGGGAAGGGTGGTCCTCAGCAACACTGTTTCTGCGTGTGGAACTACCAGCATGGCGCTTGCACATGGTGCTACAAACCCGGAGCCCTTCTTGCCAGTAAAACAGGGAAATGCCCAAAGCATTTCATGGTTTCCCCATCACACGCAGGGGTGGCAGCTGACAGGGCCTTTTGCCTGCCTGCAGAGAGCTGGGGCAGCGCTCCGCTCCCTGCCTGCACCAGCGAGGCTCCCACAGGAGCTGGCTTTCACATCCTGGGCTGCATCAACAGGAGGTGAGCAGTAGGTCATGGGGGTGATCCTGCCCCTCTGCTCTGCTCTGGTGAGACCCCTCTTGCAGCACTGTGTGCAGTTCTGGTGTCCCCAACATAAAAAGGACATGGAACTGTTGGAACAAGTCCAGAGGAGGCCACGAGGATGATGAGGGACTGAAGCACCTCCCGTATGGAGACACGCTGAGAACACTGGGGCTGCTCAGCCTGGAGAAGAGAAGGCTGCAGGGAGGCCTCGGAGCAGCTTCCAGTGTCTGAAGGGGCCTACAAGGATGCCGGGGAGGGACTCTTCGTTAGGGACTGCAGTGACAGGACAAGGGGTGATGGGTTCATGTAAGCGGCGAGGAGAAGCAGACAGGCCAACCCAATATGGGTGATAAGCAAACTTCTACTTCATTTGTGACGCAGTTTACATATATGTAGGAGTGGTATTCAGCCACTCCTCCTTGGCACAACAGTATTGGTCAGCCCCACACAGCTTCCTCCACATTCTCCTCCCATGTCCGGTTCCCGGTTACCTGTGGGGGCCACCCCCTGCCTTGCTCGCACAGTCCTCCAGTGTTCTATGGTCCTGCTCTTAGAGTCATTCTGCAACAGGTTCAAACTGAAACGGGAAGTTCAGGTTAGAAACAAGGCAGAAGCTCTTCCCTGTGAGGGTGCTGAGGCGCTGGCACAGGATGCCCAGAGAAGCTGTGGCTGCCCCATCCCTGGCAGTGTTCAAGGCCAGGTTGGACACAGGGGCTTGAAGCAAGCTGCTCGAGTGGAAGGGGTCCCTGCCCGTGGCAGGGGTTGGAACTGGGTGAGCTTTAAGGTCCCTTCAACACAAACCAGGCTGGGGTTCTGTGGTTCCCCCAACAAAAGCAATTGGCTCCTGAGGCCCCGGGGCCGCCTGGGGCCGGGGACAAGCCCCGCGGGGTGCCCGCACCATGGCAACGCACGGCGCGTCACGTAGGCCGCGCTCTACCGCTTCCGGTTACCCTCTCACCCCAAGATGGCGGCGCCCGTGGGACCTGTGAGGTTTTGGAAGCCGGGTGAGGGGCTGTGTGGGGGCTCTGCGGGCGGGTCCCCCCCCCCGGCCTGAGCCGAGGCCGCAGCGCTGCCCCCAGCGGCTTCTGGGGGTCGCACGGCGTTTAGGCCCCGAGGGCAGCGGATAAACGTGCTGCTTCTCTGCCGCCGGGGCTGCAGAGCGGCGGGGTCTGTGTGGCTCCAGCCCGGCGTTGCCCTTTAGCGGGGGTGGCGGGGTGCAGCCCCTCTTCAGCCTGGGGGGGTGATGGTTCGGTGGGGTCGCTGCCCCTCGCGGGTTCCGGGAAGGGCACAGGGGAACCTCAGGAAGTTAAAGGCAGGTGCGAGGTCCTGGGAGTTGCCACAGGCAGGGAGAGCCCCTCAGCAGGAAGGAGCTCACGGAGCCCTGTGGGCCGTGAGCTGAGTGCGGGCCTTTGGTGCTCGCTGACAGCAGAGAAGGTGGCCTGCATCCCGGGCTGGGTGAGGAAAAGCGTTGCTGTTGGGCTGAGGGAGGTGATCCCTCCCTTCAGCACTGGGTGATCTGTGAGCTCCCCAGCACCACGACGGGGACTTACTGAAGGAGGTCCACTAAGTGAAGGGCCACGAGTGTGGTTGAGAATTTGGAGCATGTGATGTGACGGGGGATGCTCAGAGAGCTGGGACTGTGCAGCTTGTAGAGGTCTCAGGAGTATCCTTTCAATGTATGTAAGTACCTTGTAGGGGAGGGTAAAGAAGATGGAGCCAGACTCTTCTTGGTAGTGCCTACTTGGTAGTACCAGAGGCAGTGGGCACAAGCTGAAATGTGATAAAGTCAGCTTAAACACAAGAAAACCCTTTTCTGCTCTGTGGGTGGTCAGGCTGTGGAACAAGCAGTCAGTCAGGTTGTGGGGTCTCCATCCAGCTGAGGACCTGAGCAACCCCTGTAAGTGACTCTGTGGTAAGCAGTGTTCATCTAGAAGTCCTCCAGAGCTCCCTGTGAGACTCGGCTGTGCTGTGGCTCAGTGATGGTTCCCCTGTGGTTTGGGCAGTTCGGTACCTTCCCATTTGCTTGCCCCAAGGGGAGCTTGGTGGGTGTGAGTTTGGCAGTTTTAAAACGTTGCCCACTGTGTTGTGGTATGCTGTGACTTGCAAAGGTATTTCATAGGCAAGGTTAGTTTAGCAAAGAGCTTCTTAATCATTTGAATATCATAGTAATATGTTGTAGATACAACATGTATATGTATGCAACATGATGGCAATGGTGTATTAAAAAAAAACATAGAAAATGCTGTGAAAGAAAATTGGTACGTGATGAGCAGCAATGTTCATTAATTCTGCTGATTTGTCAAGATCCAGATAGTCAAGTCCCTGATTCTGAACTTTTCCATCTGTAAGCTACTAGGAAGTAAGTTAATTATCCCAGCGGAAACCAGGGTGCCTGGGGAGTGTATAGTTCCTGGAATCATTGCTAATCACTCTTCTAATTCAATCAGTTTGCTATAAAACTTGAATAAAGACTAACTGTTTTTAAGCAGTGGGAGAAATAGGAAAAGCCCAAACAAGCAAATCCTGCAAAACATGGGAATTTTCTCTTGCCCTCATACCTTCCCAGTTGAATCTGTAGCTAGAGATGTGGTACATTCTCTTACTGAGTTGAGGGTTTGTTTCTAGTTAATTTGCATGATTCAGCATTTTTGATTGTCAGTAGTTTTATGGTAATCTGCCGCAGGAATAAATTAAGTTTAATTTACTGAGGTAAATTCAGATGTGAAACAACTGGTGTATTTCGTAAGCATGCAAGGTTGAATGTTTATATGGTTGTTATTAGTTAAGGGAAGTTCTGTTACCTGTTTGAATGGGTGGCTTAAAATTCATGGATATACTTCTGGGAAGGGTATTGAAGTTGTATCTGAACTGTTGCACAGAAAAAGAAGAAAGTTCCTAAGATCTTGCTGTATATTTTTCCTATGTAGTTTTTCCCTCAATTATCATCCTTTTAAAATCCAAATACTTATTCACATTAGATTTCTATTTAACCAGCAGAAGACACAGATTTCATTTGAAAGCATTTGTTTACTGTAGTTGATATTTTGACTATTTTAATAGGAAAGTTAGTCTTTTGATATATGCTGCTACCCATTATTCCTACTCATCAGGAATATATTTATTTTGGTTGTACTGTGGTACACAGAAGTGTGTTCTTCCAGTTAAAATTGACTTATATTATCTAGGCACGGAAGGTCCTGGTGTCAGTGTCTCAGAGGAGAGACAGAATCCTGCTGAGAGCAGTAGCATATCTGTCATCTATAATCCTTATGCTTCCCTTTCTATTGAACAACAAAGACAAAAGCTGCCTATTTTTAAGGTAAAGAAGTTCTTTTGGGTATATTAAATCTGTTGTATGATGTTTGTCTCTTATGCCTTTTTTTGAAAGAGCAATATAGAATCACTTTACAACATAAAGTAAAAATTTTATTACCTTGATCTCTTTATTTATTGGAATTGATTGTCCTGGTTGACAGCTGTTACTGACAGTTTTACAGGTTGTGTTATTTACTATATGTTCTGTATGTCACTTATGGATTTCTAAAGGGCTGTTTAGCTTTTGGCAGTAAATCCATGTAAAATGAATTTACTGTCTCTGCCTGATATGTAAATATTGTCATTAATTAGTCTCTTATTTTTGTACACGTCTGGTTTTGATACTTGAATGTCATCTTCTGTTTCAGCTAAGAAATCACATTCTGTATCTAGTGGAGAACTATCAAACTCTGGTGCTTGTTGGGGAAACAGGCTGTGGGAAATCAACCCAGATTCCACAAGTAAGCGTCTGTTTAACTTGGTAAAATCAGGTATTCCCTTGGGGTATTTTACATGAAATGTTAAACCAGCAACCCGGATCTGTACTGTGAGAAGGGAAGTCCCCTGTGCTTGTGTGTGCGACTGAGAGGAGAGAAATAAAAGCAGCTGGTATGTCTGTAATGTAAAACCTCCCTCCTCTACAGGAAAGGACCGGAGACAACACGTAGTTTATTCTGGTACAAATAGTAGTTACTGTGCAGCAGTAGGTGTTGATAATCAGTAATGTTTAAAATTTTGCTGAAAATATGTTTTTAAGTAGGGAAATAAAGTACACTTTTTTTAGGAGCTTTCCTTTTGGGAATTTTTGGAATGTTGTATTTTTCACGGGTTTGCAAAATTTTCTCATTTGTGAAGGGAATGTAGAAAGTCTGAGAATGTTTTGAAGTTGGTTCTTGAGTAACTTGGAAAATTGCAGACCAGTGATGAATGTCATCTGCATCAGGGCTTGTGCTGCTTAGCTTTTTTTCTTCAAGGGGTAATAAAATAAAGAAGAGAAAAATTAAGAAGTTAAAAAATACTTAAAACTGAAAGAACTGCTCGTAGGTGCTTTCTGATAGTATGTGTTTAGGAGAGATTGTATTATGCTGTATTACTTCTAATGGTGAGATTAATAAACGCACAAAGTCTCTTAAGTAACTGTTTTGTCTGAGGATGTGCATCAGATGGTGTCACAACCAGCAAAAAGCACATAGTGCGGAGAACTAACACCTCACTGCAGTCACAGCATGACCAGTTCATTTCTTGCACTCAATATTTGTTTGCAGTACCTAGCAGAAGCTGGCTGGGCAGCTGAAGGAAGAGTTGTTGGAGTGACGCAGCCTCGTCGGGTTGCTGCTGTTTCAGTGAGTTTCTCCATGTCCTTATTTTTCCAGTTCAATGTCATTATAACTTCCAGTTTATTAGCAGGAATGGTGTTGGCATGTGCTCCTGATGAGCAGATATTTCCTTCCTCACGGAATTGCTGGTACTATATGCTGAATTCAACTAGATTAGTAGGTCTTGCCAAAAATTCCAAGTCCAGAATTGCAGGTGTAGAAGCTTTGAAAAAAAAATTGTGTGGAATCGGCAGAACTGCGTATGAAAGTTAGACCTGTGCAGGGCTGTGATTGATTCTGGACAAGAACTGTGCGTGAACCTTAACTTTTTCACAAAGTAAAGTAGTGATGGTAAATCTGTGTACAGTAACATAGCTGTTGAAAGAAAGAGGAGGTTGTGTACCTCTTTCTAGCAATTCACACCAAAGCTTTTTGAATCTCTTTTCTGTATTATTTTTTTGTTGTAGGTTTTAATTTGCATGTTTTTTTGGTTTGTTTTTTGCCTTGTAAGAATGTCATGGAAAAGAAACAACAATTTTATTGTGAGAAGTCTTTTACTGTATAAATATATATATATCTTTTCCTATATAGACATATATACATAGGAGGTCTGAGAAAGCATAATGTCAGCTAGATGTACTACAAGAAGAAGAAGAGGGGATGCCAAGGGAAACAAATTGTGCTCTCTGGTAATAAAGAATAAGTATAAAAAAAGTCTGTATGGAAAACATCCAGTACTCCTTGTTTTCATAACTGCTGCCAAACACTGACCCAGTGGGCTGAAGTTTCTGCTGCAGCGTTCCTTTTACAGAAAACTGTGGTGCAGTTTTGTAAATCTCATTTTGCTTGTTCTTTATAATGTATTAAAGTGTACCTGCAGCAAATCAGCTTATGCCTCCCATGAAAATGTAGTAGACTGAGCTGCTATGCAGCTTGCCCTTTCATCTCATCCAGTATTCTCTGATTGTATCCAACATGGAGAGGGAAACAGCAGTGATCTGCATCTTGTGCTTTGGACAGTCTGCCTGCAGTGTCCTCCCTTTTCTCCTTCACAGAACATCCAGCTGACAGTGCATAGTTCTACAGGGGATGTTGTGTATGCTGCAATGTTTTCTCACAATAAACTTGGTTCTCGTTTCTTTTTCATGTCTTAATACATTATTTTTAAGCCTAAAATAAAACAATTACTTAAGCAGGGCTTAGTACATAGACACAGTAGGATTTTCCATTGCAATGCTGTTGCAAACTGTGTGGATTGTATGGCTTTTACAGGGAGATGAGAGATATAGTTGATGATTGCTTTGTCTTGAATTGAAAGTGATCTTTTATTTTAAGAGGTGTGCTAATCTGCTTTCTCATCTAGAGTATGGGGGGGGGGGGGGGGGGAGTGTCATGAATTCACTGCCTGTGGGTATGGTTTAGAATGTCACTCAAATGACTGAAAGTAGCTTGCCCTTGGAATTCTACTAGTACTAATGTATGTATTGTGGGGTTTTATTGTGCTGTTAGGTATTAAATGTCCTTGTAGCTTGCTGAAACCATGGCGTGATAATATCTAATAATCTGTAGAATAAGTCTAAATAACTCAAGATTTTTAGCTAAAGGAGCTATTGGCTTAAAACTGGTCCAGGGTAGTACTGTTGCTTGTTTTAATTATTCTGCCAGTTTGTCATCTGTTTTCTGCATAGAAGATTCTGTATTATCTTTATACAGTACAGTAGCATCTTTATTCAAAAAAACCCAAAACAAAACTAAAAGAAAGTCTGAGTAAGTTCAGGGACAGATCAGCTTACCTGGTAACTTCTTTCTGTGTGCCAAATCCCTGCATTCATTCCCTTTTTGCATACCGACTGTTCTTAAATTGCACTCCCACAACTGCTGCGAGGTGGTCCTTTCTCAGCGTTGTGACTGGTGGAGTAACTGCCTTTGTAGGTCTGTCAGAGTGCTTATCACAGAAAGGTATCTCTATGGCTTTCCTGATTAGAAGCAGCTTAAAACATTTACTAAATTACACTAAAATATTTAAAAGCATTTACCAGTTGTATGTTCAGTATGCACTGTTTATGTCAAACAGAATTTTTTGTTAGAATGAGAACAAATAATTGTTTGGAAGCATCAGCTCTATTTCCTGTTTTGATGCCAATTCTCTACAAAAATAATGATACAGTGAAGAAATGTGCTGTGAGCTGTCTATTGTTTGTAAAAATCTTTTTTTTCTCAGATTGCAAGCAGAGTTGCTGATGAAAGAGGTGCAGTGCTGGGGCATGAAGTTGGATATTGTATTCGGTTTGATGACTGCACGGATCCACAAGCTACAAGAATTAAGGTGAAATATGAACAGTGTGTGGTTACTCTGAAAGGGTTAGCTGAAACTCTCCAAGTACTTTTACAAAATTAATGAGAACCTTATGATGCCCAGTAAAGAGAATACATACATTGCAGTTTTCCAGGTGGGTATCCCGAAAGTGTGCTTGGAAAGGCTGTGGCTATCCAAACCTTACTTAAGTGTGTACGTGTTCTTTTCTGCTAGACTGGCAGCCACACTGTGAAATTAAAGGGTATTTTCAAGGGAGATGTGACCAGATATTGGTACGGTGCTGGTGTGACCTGATGCGTCACACAAAGTCATAGGGAAAGGCTGCAGTGAATCACAGCTGAAGTATCCTTGCCACCCTAAAAATAGATTTTGGTTAAAAGCACAGATAAAACATGAGATGAGTAGGCTGACTGAGTGCAATGTGATGTGGATTCAATAGTAAGCTTTGCAGCTGTTCTTCAGTACTGTGAGCAATATTAATGTTGCTTGTGTTGATACAGATGAGAGTCTGCTTATGCTGGAACAGCAATGATGATGAGTGAGACAATTTAGTTAGATTTCTGATTACTGAGGCTAGTAGCCCTTTTAAAAGCGGAAGAACTGGAGATGCTTGTTCATTAAATGCAGCTGAAATCTTCAGAGTTTTTTTTTGGGATTTGGGTTTAGGTTTTTTTTTTTGATTGTGATGATTAATCATTTGGAGTTGGAAATCTGGAGGTTTTCACCTTGCACACCAGTTCTTGCCTAGTTCAAGGCCACATTTGGAATCCCAGATCAAACTATTGATGACTACATAAAGTTGGTTGGGTTTCCATGGGCTAGTAGGAAGTATTAAATTTATATGTTGCATTTTGTTGACATGTGAAGGTTTGTGTACTGGTCAGATATTACGTGGTCTACTTTGAGAGGGTCAGCATTGCATTGACATGCGGGATGTTACTGGTAGAGCTGATTTAGCTGTGTTACAGACAACAGTGAAGAAACTTCTATTGCCACATTCCAGTGCTGCCAACCTGTTATTGTATTTTTTAATATAAAAATAGCTTAAATACTGATTAGAAACCAGTCAGTCTGATCACCTCTCGGTTAGCATTCAGAAATACAGACAGCAGGAAGGAAACAGAGACAGGACACCTGACCCAAACTAACCAAAGGGGTATTCCATACCACAGCACATCATGCCCGGTATAGAAACTGGGGGGAGTCACCCGCAAGGCCTGGGTATCAGTTGCTGGGTGCTGAGCAATTGTATTCGGCATCACTTGTGTTTACCGTTTTTTTTTTTTCCTTTCCCCTTTTAGTTTCATATTCTCTCCCCTTGTTTTTTCTCTTACCACTATTTTTATTAGCGGTAATAGTAGTATTTTTGCATTATAGTTTAGTTACTGGTCTGTTCTTATCTCAACCTGTGGGGTTTACATTCTTTGGATTCTCCTCCCCATCCCTCAGGAGCGGGGAGGGAACAAGAGGGGAAGTGAGTGCATGGCTGGGTGGTTCTGAGGTGCCAGCTGGGCTTCAACCACAACAGTAATCTATAAAAATCATGTGGCTAATTCAGACTAGTTGGTGGATTTTGTTTACATTTTAATTTGTATTCACTTTTAGTTTCTAACTGATGGTATGCTGGTGAGGGAGATGATGGCTGATCCTTTATTAACAAGATACAGGTAAGGAGCCATGGAATGAATGCTGGCTGAATTGTAATTTGATAAATAAGTGATTTTTTTTTTTTTTTTTTTTTTTTTTTTTTTTTTAGGCTGAGGTATAGTTATTATAAATTAAATACCAAAAGATGTGAAAATTACTTTAGGAGTTTGACTACTTGATGTTGTAAAGACAAAGAAAATCAGTTGATCATTGCAACACCAAACTCAGCAAGATTTGCTGCTGTGGTTTTGGAACAAAAGCTAAGTGGGTTTTAGAAGAACTGTTTAATTTACTAGTTTTAAATTAACTTTCTTTCTGATGCCAATCAAATTAAAAATAATCACAACAAAAGCAGGCATATTCCAGTATGCAGGCAAGCCGTGCAGTGCAGTAAAGCCAGACCCTTTTTTTCTACTCTTTTCCAAAAGCTAGCGTGAATAAAGAGGAGTGTGTATGGGCCACGTTATCTACATTTTTCTCCCTACCTTGTTTTGTGATTTTTTTTATTTTTATTTTTTAACTTTCACAGTTTTCTAAGTGGATGTGCACAGTAATAGTCCAGTAGCAGACTTAAAATAATGATATTTCTGGAGGATGGGAAGACACTGATTCTAGTGTCAATCATCAAGCCATTTTTGAAATCTTAATCTTTCTGCTTTGTTCACAGTGTCCTCATGCTGGATGAAGCCCATGAAAGGACTCTTTATACAGATATTGCCATTGGCTTACTGAGAAAGGTTATTTATTTTAATGTTCTCTGTAATCATTTTCATTTTCATCCTTTTTGTTAAACCTCTGATCCTGATGGCTGATTAGTGAATCCATTTGAGAGAGGGTGATTTCTGATTCCTTATTATCCTACAGCCTGTTGTACATGCCCAACTATTTACTGTAGACATCTGTCACTCAGGATCCTCGTGTTTCCTCCCCCCAGTGCTGAAATGTCTCCTTATTAGCAAAAAGGTGTTCTTCATTCTGTTGCTGCTGATCATGTGAAGTGATCTCATAGGGGGTTATTGTTGACTTTCAGCCTGGTGAAGATCTGACTCCTACCAGAAATTACAAGTAAACAATAATGATTACAGGCTGAATGCCCTTAAAATGAATATATAAACCTCCAGCCATCAGGCTGTTAGATCTGTGGAGTGATGAGTGTGCTTCAGTTCCTCAGCTGTTTTGTATTGTCAAAGTATTTTTAAAGAGCAGTTATTGGTAGTCTTGGTTGTAGCCTTATATCTCAGAAAACAGTTTTTACTCTGGGTGTTCTTGGTCTCTATCCTAGATTCAGAAGAAGCGTGGGGATCTTCGACTGATTGTGGCTTCAGCCACCTTGGATGCAGAGGTATAGCTCCAGTGTGGTTTGAAATAAATTGACCTTAAGTGGCAACTCCACTTATATATATATATGTATATGAATATATATATGTGTATATATATATATTCTCTGTGGGGCTTGCTTCTTGTGAAACATTACTGCTGTTTGAGTGGCAAAGAAGAGAGGAAAGAATGCAGGAAAAAAGTCTGCAGTAGTTAAGTTGCTGCATTTGGTTTTCATTTTGTATTAGCAAACTTTTTTTGGAAGTGAATATAAATATGAATCTGCTTCTCATATACTGATGTCTGTTTTTCTTCCCCCTCCTTCCCCCACTCCTTCCAGCCCCCCATTGGTATTGTTGCATGAAAAGATGTTCCCTTGGCTTAATCTAGTCTAGTAAGAGACATTGGTTTATCTCTGTTTTGCTGATGGGAGTAATTTGAGACAACCACAGACCAGTAAAAATGAGTGATAAATGAGTAGATTCAATTGCAGTGAGATCCTACTAGTTCGCTTGATTGACTTGTGGCCTGTGGAAACTTATGTAACTTACTAAAAATGTTAATTTAATTTTGAGTAGGAACAGAAAACATGCTCTTCTAGATCAGAGAAGTGTTTCATCCAGCCCAGTCTTCTTTCTGGAGCAGCAGCAGCAGTAGGACATGCTGGTTAGGGAGAGTGTGGGAGCCCATGCAGCTGCTGTGGGTCTGTTCTCTGTGAGCTGCCTCAGCACCTGCAGTGGTTGCAATAGGGACATTACACAGTGCATTCCTGCAATTTCCTTCTAGTATGTGTTCATGGGCCTGCTGTTTGTTAATTTGTCTTCAGATCTGCTCGATGAAGCTGTAAGTCTTCAGGACATCATGTGAGAGCAATTTTCCGAAGTTTGCCACCTGCTGTGTAATGCAGTACTTTATTTAATTTCTTCCTTTTCTGCTCGTTTCATCAAGGACCTCCTGGTTCTATTAGTATGGGATTCACATTTTTTTTTTATTAACACAACAATAACCAGCACCAGTTTTACATTTACTTACTTTGTCACCTTTGATTCTGTGCACCTCAGCTGTGTGGGTTTTCAAACTGCTGCTCCCCAGGCAGAGCCCCAGCCTTTTCAGCCTCTCATAAGGCAGCTGCTCCATTTCCTTTATTGTGTTCTTTGCGTTTCTCTGTACTTTTCCTCTTTCCTCACTCCCCTGTGTCCTTCATGAGATGCGGTGTTGAGAGCTTGTGTGCAGCACTGAAAGTGTGGGTGTACTGAGATTTCCTTTAGTGGCAAATATCACATGCCATAAATTTTTGATTGTAAGCTCTGGTAGCACTTGCACTGCTGTGTATTCTGTACATTAGATAATGCTACAGTACTCTGCATTTGCAAAATTTTAACTGCCAAAAATAGCATGTTTCAAATAGCTTACAGGTAATGTAAAAATAATAACAAAATGGTTAGTATGACTATATTAATGTTTGTTTAAATACAGAAAGTTTATGGTATCTCTATAATGGTCATGAAAGTCAAGATCGATTATTTGGGTTCCTAACTTTCATTCTTTTGCTATTGTGCATTTAAAATACTTTGTGGCAATAAAACTGAATTTATGAAGGTGTCTTGCAATGCAGAAGACAAAAACCTAAATTAGCCTATGCTTTTACCAAGTGAGATGGTGGCGTTCAGTAAGAGCTGTAAAATATACTTGCTCATCCAGAAATGGAGAATATGCAAGCCCTACCCAAAACCTTGAGGACCAATCAAGTTCTTCTTAGCTTTGACTTTGCTGCTGTTATAGATCCATTATGAAGTTTATATATCTGCTTTGTCCAGCAGTCATCAGTTCTTCTAAGTAACTTTATTACCTCTTTTTAATCTTTGCTTCTCAAAAACAATAAACATGCAAGACTCTGTGTGTGTCAAGTGCCTTATCCCGGACAGGAGAGAAGGCAACAAACCCTAAATCTAAAATTTTTAAATTGGCGCTGTCAAATTTATGAATAAAACACCCAAATTGCAGTAATTGAACTTCTTCATGTCTTGAGGTTTCTCCCTTCATTCTTTGAAATATCAAACTGAAAGTGTTTCTTTTTATTTTAATGTAGAAATTCAAGAATTTCTTTAATCAAAATGATACTGGTGACCCCAGCAAAGATACCAGCGTGATACTTACTGTGGAAGGGAGAACGTTTCCAGTGGACATCTTTTACATACAGAGGTGTGTTTGATCTTGTCAATGGTGCTTAGGAGGGTATGCAACTGTGGTATCATTTGATCTATGTTAGAGCTTAGATGTTCCCAGAAGGTGTAACCTTCAATCTGGCAAACATTTGGATATAGCTTATAGCAGCTGACATGTTTTTAGGCTTTCTGTAGTGGAAAGGAAACAAATTAATTGCTTATTCCCAAGGATTCATCATGAGCTAAGTGTGGTATGGCTGTTGTGTAGTTTCCAAAAGCTAGCTTGCTTTTTGTTCCTTATGGAAATGAGGAGGCTCTACCTGTTTTTCTGCTAATGTCTCTCCTATTTTCTCCTTGTAGTCCTGTTCCAGATTATGTAAAATCAACTGTGGAAACTGCAATGAAAATTCACCAGATGGAGAATGATGGTGATATACTGGCATTTTTAACTGGGCAGGTACAGACGTAAGCAATATTGTTGCCTTACAACACTGAATTGTTAACTTTGCGAAGTGCCCTGAGTCTCCTGCTTTCCTTAGCTGTGCTTCTTTTAGTCACATTAAAGATGACAGACGTTTTTACATTGATGGGAGCAGAATTAGGCCAGTCACAAAGACTTGTAGAAAATGTATGGCCTGAATTTGTCAAAGCTAGTGATGAACAGTTTTTCCCATTTAATACTTTCAGCCTTGTTAATAAATGGAATAGTGTGGGGGGTTTTGGTGCTAGTCACACCTGCAAAGTTGTTAAATTGACAGTGAGTCATTGCTAATAGTTAAGGCAAATGGAATTTACATTTGTTGGGCTTAACATCATTAACATGGCAGACAAACAAATTTCTGTGAGATACAAATTTACTTGTCTTTTCCTCTCTATTTATGCCTGTCAGCTCACTTTGCAGCTGAGGAGTAGCATATCATTTTTCCAGTAAAGAGCTACCTTGAAGAGCTTCAACAACATCTTGCATATTTTCAAAAAAAAATTCTTCATCTTCACTATTGATGTAATTTTTAGAAGAATGAATTGGGTATCTCAGGAGGCAATGTCTGATCCTCTGTTGTCTGTGTTTACCAGTGAGATGCCACAGTTGATCTATGAGATTAAGTGTGGTTGAGCAATAGGTGCTAATGAAGTTACTGTGTCATTCCTGATCAAGACCCACAGCATACTGCACTGTCAAAATAGATTGGCCTCCTATTTTGCTCTCACAAGTTGTGATGGAGGAAAATATGCCTGCTTCCTCCTGAGCTTTGTTCAGTCCTTTCCTGGTGATTTTGCTCATGTATTTGTGATGTGACATTGTCTCAAATAACAATGAACAAAAATATTAATGTGAACACATATTTATTATGAATAGCAATTTATGTAAGAATATTACAAAATTGAGCTAGTCAGAAGATCCCAGGGTTTGAACAATTTGAACTATGGCATTTTGGTGCATTTTTTGTATGTAGGTGACAGCTGTGTGGTATGAAAGTGAAACCTCTCACATTCTGTCCCCTGTCATGCTCTGGCTCTAGGAGGAAGTGGAGACTGTTGTTTCCATGCTCATAGAACAGGCTCGGGCCCTCTCTCGCACTGGAATGAAAAGACACCTCCGTGTTCTCCCCATGTATGCTGGGCTGCCTTCTCCTGAGCAGATGAAAGTGTTTGAGAGAGTTTCTCACAATGTCAGGAAGGTAAGGCTGCCGTGTATGTCTCAATTTCTACCACCCAGAGGGGTATCTGCATTACACAGATTGCGTATGTCTGGCTCACATCATGAGACTATTGCAAACACTTACCGAAGGAGTCTTTCTGTATCTCCTAACACTGCCTATCAGTTTTCAAACTGAACCAAGAGCATGTTCTCTGGCTTCCCTTACCACCTTTGATCAGTCTTAGACATGTTAATTCTAACTTTCCTGTTAACCTCATCAACTTTCAATTTTCAAGAGTCTTTGTACAACCTCGTATTTCTCTATGTCCAGTTGCAGCTTCTTAATACTCTTAAGTCTTTTACCTGGTTTTATTTCTTTTTGTGGTCTAAGTGTCTATGGCTGTTTCCTACCTCTAATGGAAAAATTAGTGTCAGAGTGGGTAAGTGCTGTATTTTCATCTAAGAAACAAGTTAAAACTTGCCTGGTTTTAGTAGAAAAAAATATATAGTCAGCTATATAATTGGTCATGATTAATGCTTTCTTCTTAGACAGAGCCTGTGTTGGGGCTGAGATAAGCCCACAGAATTACACAGGGTGACTTCTTATAATTTTGTTCATACTGCAGACTAAAAAGTAGAACTGTTCATCTGGTGTTGGAGAGCATTGAGTATAAATAAACCACAGAACCACAGAATACTTCTTTTCTCTCTAGGGTATGATATTAGTCAATTAACTTCCAAGATTTACTTTTTTAATTTCAGGTGATATAAGGACTAGGTTTCTCTCTGTCATCTGGGAATAATTATTTTTTGATATTTCAGGAAGTAAGTGTATCTGTCCAGGGATACTGAACATGGGACACTTAACTCTGTTCTCCTCCTATCCCCTGCCTTGCTCCAGTGTGACAGGGAACAGCTCAATAGAACTGAGAAGAAAGAAAATACTTGTTCTCACATAGTTTGCTAAATAAAAACACCTGATTTACAGTCAGTGATTTTTCTCTGCAAACACTGCCGAGATCTTCTTCTATGAAGAGAGAATAAATTTGGATAAGAAAGTGATTATGAAGCTGTAAAAACTAGGCTATTTCAAGCTGACAGTTCTGTCTGCTGCATTACTGTATCGTTCTGTACTCCAGTGTGTTTACTGGAACTGTCTGTTACTGAGATCTTTCACGTGGCTTGTATTTGAGTCCTGGTTCATAGATGCAAGGCCTTGATGGTGCAATTGAGACTGGGGAGTTCACCATGTCCTCACTGTGTCTGTCTGTAGGTGGTAGTTGCCACCAACGTTGCAGAGACCTCCATCACGGTTCGCGGAATCGTATTCGTAATTGATTGTGGGTTTGTGAAGCTTCGTGCATATAACCCCAAAACAGCCATTGAATGTCTTGTGGTGGTTCCAGTCTCTAAGGCTTCAGCTAATCAGAGAGCAGGACGTGCAGGACGGAACCGCTCTGGTAAATGTTACAGGCTTTATACAGGTCAGTAATCTGATATGTAGGGAAGGTGAACTTGCTGATGTGACTTCCATTTTGCTTTACAGTGGCTTTAGTGTTAGATAAAGAACAAAAGTGTGTTTTTTCTTTCAGCAATAGATAGGAGAATGATAAAAGATGCACAAGCGAGTCCAGAGGAGGCCACAAAGATGCTCCAAGGGCTGGAGCAGCTCTGCTCTGGAGCCAGGCTGAGAGAGCTGGGCTGGGTCAGCCTGGAGAAAAGAAGGCTCCTTAAAGGGTGACCTTAGAGCAGCTCCAGTGCCTAAAGGGGCACTGGCACAGGGTGCCCAGAGGAGCTGTGGCTGCCCCATCCCTGGCAGTGTTCAAGGCCAGGTTGGACACAGGGGCTTGGAGCAAGCTGCTCTAGTGGAAGGGGTCCCTGCCCGTGGCAGGGATTGGAGCTGGAGGAGCTTTAAGGTCCCTTCCACTTCAAACCAGCCTGTGATTCTATGTTTCTAATATAAGGACTTCTGGAGCTGCTGCTGCAGATTTCTGTGAAGAACATTTCAAGTAGAAGTACAGTTGGGGCAGCTGCCGAATCAGCAGTGTAGCCAAAACCATTGAATTTTCTGTTTAAAAGAAATCATCTTTAAAATGCAGTAATTGGAGAAAGATCATCTTTGAGTTAGAGTTCTTTTAACACCTGTTAATTCATACTTGATAATTTTAACTTGAAACAGGTATGATTCTGTGTTCTTGACTATACAGGGTGGAGTTGAATCTCAGTCCTGAATGGCTTTGTTTTCTCCCATTACAGAGGAGGACTTTGAAAAGTTGCCCAAGTCCACTGTTCCCGAGATGCAGCGCAGTAACCTTGCACCCGTCATCTTGCAGCTGAAGGCTTTGGGCATCGACAATGTGCTCAGGTTCCCCTTTCTTTCAGTGAGTCCTAGGCTGTAAAATCTGTCGTCTTTCCTTACTCGGAAGGAAAATCAGTAAATGACTGGTTGGTAACACACAGAACCATTGCCCTGTTAATTTGGAAAGCATAACTTGTTGTCAGCTTTGGGCATTGGGAATCAACTAGTGCAAGTAATGTGTGTGACAACTTCGAAACAACAACTTTTTGTATTCTAGAGATTGCTGGCGAGTCAAGAAAAGCCTAGAAAGGCAAACAGATTCTGCAAACTAACTGTAGTCCCTTTGCATTGAATTTATGAAGAAAAAGGGGGGGAAGGGAAAAGATACCTATAGAACTAAACCAGTGCTTGTCTGTTTTGTTAAAAAGAGCAGTATCAAGTTTTAGATTTGCTTTCTGTAAAGTTTCTAGCTACTCTTGTATTGATGTGGAAAACTCACATGGTGGCATTAGAAGTTAAGCTTGTTGAGATGATTTTGACTCGCAGCATTGCAGTCAGTGGAAGGGTGAAAGCAAGAGTCTGAGACCTCTTTCCTTACTATACAGGAGTAGAAAGATAGGTAATTAGAACTTCAAGATTTTGTAGAAGAGGAAGGTGTAAGAATTTCTGTGATAACTTGTGTTCTGTGATGATAGCTTTAAATAATGAGCTTTTTTTTTTTTTCTCCACAGCCACCTCCTGCCCAGTCAATGGTGCAAGCTTTAGAACTGCTGTATGCCTTAGGAGGTGAGAAATATTATGCTTTGCTTTATTGAGAGTTAAGTTACATGAGTTATGAAAAAACCTGTTAATTTGGATTTGGTGATTGGATGGACATTAATCAAACTTGCATTTGAGAGCTGTGCTTTGACAAAGAGATAACGCAGCCTTGACTGGTGGAAGCTGTCTGTTGGCATGTTTTTAAAATGTACCTAAGTCTCCTCTGAACTTACTTTCTTTTCCTCCAGTTGTTTCAGACAGGTAAGCAAGCAAAAGGCAGCAGTAACTTTCTGGGAGCAGCTATAAATCCATTTCATAGAGTATAAACTACAGATTAAGTGTTTAGATTGAGCAAGCATATTTTATAGCTATTATCTGTGTATTTCCTTGCACCTTCATGGGAGGAACCAGCTATTTATCTTTGGTAGGAACAGGGCTCTGAGCTGAGGATGTTGGTGTGATTCTCTTAGGCAGATCCTCTGTGTTTCTTCAGACCTTAAAGGGGGTTGGAACTGGATGAGCTTTAGGGTCCCTTTCAACCCAGACTGTTCTAGGATTCTATGAATTACTGATCACAGCTTGTTCTCAAATTCAGTAGAGAGTCTGAACCATGTTCTTAGTCATGTAGTTTGGTGTTAGGTAGTCCTGCGAGGAGCAGGGAGCACGACTCAGTGGTTCTTGAGTCCCTTCCAACTTGAGGTATTCTATGACTGTAAAAGTGTTAATTTCTGTTTTATTCATTATGCTGCTGTTGGATACCTGTAACACTCAAGTCACACTGTAGTAATATTTTTATACACAGTTTTTGATTCCTTTTTGTTGTGAGTGGAATGAATGCTGCCTGATTTTGTTTATAGGAAGGGCTGTTATATTGTTGGGGTATTTGACAGCTATTTAATCTTTTTGAATGCAGCAAACTTAAACATAACAACTTGGCACAAGAAGAAGTAGTGAAAATGAAACAATTTGACTCTAACTCAATGTTTGTAGTTAATTCAAAGTTAACAATATTTGCCCTATAATATAAACATGAAGAAAAGGGTAGTGTGATGGAGACTGTGTAAACGTTGGAAGCATCCAAAGGTTTGTGACTATTTTGACATCACTTAGAAATGCTGTGTTGTAACTTGTGGCAGTCTGCTGTCTTATTGTCATGGAACTGTTATTCTCTGCTTGGCCATAATTTTGCTCTGTGCTGATTCAGCTCCATCTTGCAAAGGAGGGTTTTGCTTCAGGCACTCGGTTCTTGGCAGCCTTTCCAAGCTTGGAATAAGGACCTTCACAGTGGCTCAGAAGCACGTTTCAAAGATGAATTCACAGCCAAAAACACCTGGGGAGGTGGAGAGGGAAGGTCAGAAAACTTACTGATTAGCTGTTTGATGTTTTGGCAAAAGTGTTATGCTCATGGTAACTTCACAGAGCAGTACAGAGCTGTTACTCTCTTGGCTGCCCAGCTTTTGTAGCAAAGCAGAGGAATGCTGATGTCGATGAAGATGTAAAGAAATGTGTGTGGTGTTCAGATTCACTCTTAAACATTGCTGAAGTTTAAGGTGTTAGATGGTTTATTATGGAGATTTCCTGTAAGTTTCCCAAGCGTTTGCAGCTGCAGTAAGGATTACATTTCTCTTATGCAAGTGTGAACCTGTATTTCAACACTTGCATTGTAATTACATGCAAATGGGGGTCAGGACCCTACTGTGCCAGTGCAGTGCCAACAGAAAAGCAGATGCTCTTCAGGTTGAGATACTTCTGTTGAATAAACACATCACTGTTTTTAGACTGATTATTTTTACAGTGATACAGTGATTTTTACAGTCAGGAGTATCTCTTCTCAGCCTTCTCCTTTGATGCTTTGAAAGTCTGAATTGTCAGTTGGAGTTTATTGTTTTTAAGAATCATTTCGGAAGTAAATAAGCAGGTAGAAAATGGATTTATTTTTAGCTTCGCTTCAGATCCAGGGTTTTGTTGAAGATTCGTTTGTGAGTTGTCACCTATCAGAAACAACCGCTCTACCTAAAAATAGAGTTTTAATCCCTCAGCCTGTAACATACTAGTGCCACAGTAAGTGAATAGTTTCTTATGAGCATCTTCAGTAAAAATCTTTGCAGCATCTTTTTCTAAGATCTCCAGTTTCCTATATAGATACAATAAAATGGTTGCTTCCAGGATGATTTCAAGGCAACTTTTACCTGTTCTGAACTAGTATCCATTGCAGGCTTACCGCTGCAAAGACATCCGTGCATGAGCAAAACTGCATTGAAATTTGTAAGATTAAGCAGAAGCCAAAGGATTTTGGCTTGATGCACATGTAGAAAGTTAAAAAGATGGTAATTTATCCTTTTTGCTAGTAGTAATGCAGTTACCCTTCTGTAGATGAAAGACTGCATATTCTAAGGTGGTAATTGTGGTAGCTCTTAAACCTCTCATATTGCACTCGTTAAGTGAAAGCTATCAGACCTTCATTTTTGCAGTGTCTGTGATTTGGTGTTTATATCACTTCATCATTTCACACAAGCTGCCTTTTATACCTGTTTCTGAGGAAAATATTGTGACATATGAAAGGCCTATTAGGTTTGGTTGGACAGTGTAAGGGTGTGGCAAGTGAATCACTACGTTGCCATAATAAGTGAGATGATAGCATATCAAATAATAAACACTTGATAGAGGTATGTGTGGTTTTAGATATGCTGACATGACTTATAAAAGATTGCATTCCTTGACTTGATTTGTGGTTTTGCTTCTCTCTGGGAAGCAGAGCTGAAGTAAAACTGTGGAGGTCTTGGCACCATGGTTTGACAAATAATGTTTACATAATGCATGGGCCACAGTTGTGTTTCCTCAGTCCTCTCTGCTGAGGTTACTTATGCAATCAGCAGTGCTCCAAAGTCCTATTCATGAGCTCTCCTTCATCCCAACTGTAGCTTTTCTCTTGTGCTCTGCCTCCTTGTTGTACCTCATACAACTTGGTTGACTTGCAGTTTTCTTTTGCAGTTCTTACTCTTTGCTGCCTTTTGTAGTGAGCTCTTTTCTTCTTGCTGTTTTTATTAATTCTATTTCCTATGTCCTCTTGCAAAGGAAATGTCTTTCCGTTTAAATCATTCCTGAAATTTCAGCATAGTGCTCTGGGTTGGAATAGGACCTAGTGGCTTGCGTGGGTAAACCTTACTGCAGGTGTTTGACTGTAGGAAGCTACACAACTAAAATGATAAATGTGCAGGGTTGCTCAGTGATAGCTGGGAATCAAAAAGCAAGCTGTCATAGCTATCTCCTGTCCCAATGCCAGTAAAAAGCTTACAGTTGGAACATGGCTGACAATTCAGTTACTGATACATGAGGCAGACTAAACTGTAGGCAGTCTTCATCAGCTGCACATCTCTAGTTTAGATTATAGTAAAGTTAAAATACTTTCCTCCATGAGCTCAGCAGATGTGACTCAGAAAAATGATGCCCTACCCCACCACACCATCAGTGCTTCCTCTTTCTACAGTTGTGCCTGTTCCATAACTGTACCTTTTTTCATTCTCATGAGGACTCCTTCTGCTTCCCATCTGCATGAACAAAGATGTTGCTAAATACTTAAATAGAGGATGCATAAGTCTAACAGCTAATAGGCACTCTGGACATTGCATTGACTTTGATTTGCATTGACTGTAGGTTTGCTAAGTCTTTGGCAGTAGCAATGGAACTTGGTCAAAATGAAGAAACTTCTGTGTTCAAGTACGTTTGAAAAAAGCCAGAACAACCCACTGTCCCACAGCAGAGTAAATCGTAGAATCATAGAATGGTTTGGGTTGGAAAGGACCTTAAGATCATCCAGTTCCAACCCCCCTGCCATGGGCAGGGACACCTTACACTAAATCATATCACTCAAGGCCTTGGGTATTAAGGAGTGCCTTAAAGCTTAGTTTAATATACATTCAGCACCTCCTAGGTGCATTTGGTATATTTTAGGTTGTAATTTTTGCTTTTTAGTACTTATTAAATCCTTAAAGAAGACTTTCTGTGCTCTTTTGCCTGTATTATTGCTACATTGATTAATATACTGCAGGTTTGGATATGCACTGCCGTTTAACAGAGCCTCTTGGAATGAGAATAGCAGAGTTTCCTTTGAATCCTATGTTTGCAAAGATGCTTCTGGAATCAGGTAGGAGGAAAAAAGTCGGATTTTATTCTTAGTCTTGTGATGAGGAGAGGAGGACACTGCCACTTGTAATGGTAGTGTAATACTAGACATTTGCTAAATTTGAAACAAACTGTATGCTTCATCTTGGTATGGTGTTTAGTGATAAAAATTGGTTAAACTTGTGGCTGTCTCTAATAAATCTAACACATTTGTCTTTAAAGTTTTCCATTAAAACGTTCACTGTTATACTAAAAAAAACCAGGAGTTCAGGTATTTTGGTTTTATGTATTATAAAATATATTCTTCTTTTCCTTTTTATTCTGTATGTGGGTAAGTTGAATGGAAGGTGATTTCCTGTACTGAATTTCTCCTCAGGAAATTTTGGCTGCTCCCAGGAGATTTTGACAATTGCTGCCATGATGCAGATTCAGAACATCTTTGTGATCCCTCCAAATCAAAAGTCTCAGGCTGTAAGTTCGGTTGTGTCTCCTTTTCTTCTGGTTAGTTCCATGTTTCTGGAATTCTGCCAAGTATTTTATTGAAACCTGTTACAGATTGCAAGTTTGTATGAAAATAAAACAAGGTATTGAACTGTGCCTGTTGGTTATAGGTAAAAGAAGCTGAGTAACAGTGGGAACATTGGAGATCTTTCCTAATGTTAAAAGCCTCCTTCTGAAGACTAGAGATATGAAAGTTTATAAGCCAATATTGCTCAGCATATGGGTTTTCTAAAAATACCCAAACCTCCCCAAACACCACTTCCTTTTAAGAACAAAGTATTAGGATATAGCTGGAGCCTCACTTTAACGCATCCTTCTCTTGGATTTTGGGGGTTCATTTTCAGTTCATTTTTCTAATTTCAGTTTTAGAAGTGCTCCTGAATATAGGTGGGCTAGTAAAACATTGCTGTTGCCTACAGGAACTACCCTGTATGGTAAGAACTGCAACAGTCACCAGAAAATATGTACATTAAGGGAACCAATTTTTGCAAAAATCAGTTTGCTTGTTAAAAACTATTTCCTCTTCTCTAGGCCAGGCGACACAGAAAGTTTGCTGTGGAAGAGGGTGATCATCTCACTATGCTTAATGTGTATGAAGCCTTTGTCAAAGTAAGTCACTTCAGGTGTATGTGGACTTGCAGGAATGGGAAGAACTTGAAGTGTTCTGGTTGAATTCACTTCTGATTCTGGAAGTTCTGGATACAGCTTCCTCAAAGCTGAGGACTTACCAAGTTTATTTATTGATAATTCTGCTTTAAAAGATATTCTGGTCATATTTTGTCACAGACCTTCTGTAGTTCCTCTGAACAGGGAATAGAAACAGTTTGGTTTGGATACAGCACAGAAGTCTCATAGATAGACAACTATTTTTTCAAGGAGACTGGGATTTTTGAAAGGGCTTGGAAAAACAGGTATCCAGATTCCTAATGAAGTTCATACTCTCTCATCTTTTCTTTGGATATATCTGAGTTTTAGTGATTATAAACTGCATCTAAATCTAGCAGTCTTTTATAAAAAAATTGCCTCGTTGATAATCGTGTCCTCTTCTTCATTGACCTTATGGATTTACCCAAAGGTTTGACACCATCTCAGTACTTCTCTGCAAACTCAGGTTTTACTTAACTGTTGTGAAGTGCTAGACCTGTTTTGGAGAAGTATATTTTGCTGGTATGAAACACTTCTGTATTAATATATTTGCGGTGTAACCACACAGGTGTTTGACTTCTCTCTTCCCAGGCCCAAAGCAATCAGTCAGGCACCAACTGAATTTTTGCCCTTTAAATTTTATATCTGCATAATTCTCTTAGAAATAGCCAAATGCAGAGAGAGGCTCTTGGAGTAAGTGCTGGCTTCTGGAGAAATAGTTCTTTGCATAGAGAAGACCAGTGAAAACTGTGTACCAAAAAGGTTGTTTACATTTTGAGGTTGAAAACATACTAGTTTGAGATGGTGCATTTATGTATGAGAAAGGAATGACTGATGCTGTTCTTTCACCACATATGAAGAAACAAGCGCATCTGTTTGAAAATACCCCATAGTATTTGTTCTGCTACTATTTAGAAGTTGTTTGAAATATGTTTTGTAGCTATTTGGGCTAGGTATCCTTGTTAGTTTCTATGTAAATAGGTACTTTTCAGGAAAACAATAATAAATATGTTGTAGGAGTCAGAAGAAAGGCAGAACAAGGCTATGTGATCCAAAGAGATTGGCTTTTGTTTTGCTGATTGTATCTCATTGTGATTTTTTTTATTATTCTTACTGTACAGCACAGCAAGAGCTCTCAGTGGTGTCAGGAGCACTTTCTGAACTACAAAGGGCTTGTAAGAGCTTCTGTTGTAAGAGAGCAGCTGAAAAAGCTTCTTGTCCGCTTTAAAGTGCCAAAGAAGTCTAGTGAAGGTGAACATTGTTTTTAACCTGTTGTCCAGTACATATTGATCATAGTCTCTCAAACTGACAGTCTCTTTATGCTTTTCTTGTAATCTTTGAAGTCTTTTCTTCCTGGCCAAAAAATAAGGTTAACTAAACCCAGATTTTTCTCCTAAAAATGAGCACAGAAGAGCATTTTAGCCAATTTTTGCAATTAACATTTAGTCCGATCTTTATTAGTTATGTTTTCCAGCAAGAGATTATAGCCACAGATTATATATTGAATGGACAGATTTACCAAAACAGTCATAAATAGATCACTCTGTTCCCTCTTTTGGGTTTCCAATAAGCCATATTTCTAGTACGTTCAAAATGATGTACAGTCAACTGGAAGCTGATTGCCAGCTGCGCTGCGCATGCAGGGAGGCCACGAACAGTTCTCAGCACTTGTCTTTAACTGCTCTGAAAAATCAGAGGTTGATTTTTAGCTGTCCTGCAAGGTTGCTTTTAGGACTGTGAAACTATCTGCAGGGAGACACCAGTGGCAGCAGTAGATTTTTACGTGGCGATCTTGATTTGCTGTGAAATTAAAGTCAAAAGAGATTGCAAGGCTTGTCTTCCTTCCAGCCTTCATTATTAAAGCATGATGCATTGTAAAAAGTTGTTTGAGATGATTAAGTGGTATGTTAGGTATTTTTACCAATACATTGACTTATTTTAGAGGAAAATTTTTCTGTTCAGGTGATCCAGATCCTGTTTTGAGATGCATAGTTTCTGGATTCTTTGCAAACGCAGCTAAATTCCACTCTACTGGAGCTTACAGGTAACTATATATAGTTTCATTACAACTGTTGCTTAGTTGAAAAGCTCCTTTGACTGGATAGGTCTGAGTATAGTCAACACACAGATGCTTCTTTAGACAATTACAATAAGAAACACATGACAGTTGATTTACTAAATATGTGAAGTTTTGTATTTTCAAACTGCTTTAGTGTTTATCTCTTCTCTTTGGCAAATGTAAATAAAGTTGCTGATAGTGGGAAGCTGTTTCTAAGAGTAATTAGTTTGTGTTAATGTAAGCAAGTACAGTTGTAGTGCAACAGCGTGGTAAGCACTTCAGGGGCACTTAATAAAAGCCTGAAATGCTGCTTTTTCATTTTAATATAGGTAGAACTCCTAGGACATTAAAGTGTCAATTGTTCCTTTGCGCAGGATTTAAGCTTGGTTTCATCTGTTCATTAAACACAAATGGGTTTAATTTTCTCCAGCTCTTTTGTTGTTCCCTTTTATTAACATTCTTACTGGGGATGAAAGGAAACAGCTGTTAAACAATGAATAGATGTACAGTCTGAAATGCTGTTTTGCTTTCAAGGACTATCCGTGATGACCAGGAACTTCATATCCACCCCACGTCAGTGTTGTATGCAGAGAAACCTCCACGCTGGTAAGTTAAACTGCTTTCACTTGTTTTGTGATCTTGGAAAGACAATTTCAGCATCCAGACATTTTCATGAATGACCTTTCCCCATCAATGGAGGAATAGATGTAGAAGGTCATGGTTCCCCCAGTGAGAATTCAATTGCTATTTCCTTTGCAAATTTTTGTGTAGGCAGTGTCCAAATAAATCAGGGAAATAGAGTGACATTTAGCTGCCAAAAAAACCTGCAGAGGCTGGGAAGCAGAGTCAGGTAACCCTGCTTTAACGGGCACCATATCTTGCACTGCAGGCTGCTCTTTGAGTAGTCTCTGTACCTATATAGAACTAGGGTTAATTTACTTTTATTAAACCTATTAGGGATATGATTCTATGAAATATTCTGTCAGGTAGGTGCTGCAGTAATTGCAAATGGCTGATGCAACAAGTTCTGGCTGTTTAGCAGGTTGAGGAAAGAAATGGTTGTACTTTTGTGTTAGTGAGGATTTTACAGTTTCATTTTGTGTGTCAGAGATGCTCAGATGACAAATAGATGCATTCCTAACAATCAGGCAGCATGATCCATCTGAGGTGTTTGGACTCTTGTCCTTCTTTGCCTCTTGCTGAGACTTCGAAAGATAAACTTGGCCAATGTCATCTGTTATCTTTGAATTGGACTCCTCCACCTGGTGTGTTGGATTTACAGAAGTATAACTGATTGGAACTTGGCCACTAATTACATTGGCTCACAAAGCAGAAATGAGTCCAGCTCATTGTACTGATTCTTCAGGGCTGAGTTAAGCAGCGTGTAGCTCTGTAGGTCTTGTGATATTGCCACAACCAACTGAAAAACACTACTGGCTCCCTTGGTCCTGTAACACAGGAGTTTAACTTGCTCAGGAACTCTGATTTCTGTGCTACTGCTGCCTGGGCAACCATCCTCTACTGAAGGCTTTGTCTCTCTGTTACAGGTGTATATTGAATGTGTTCTTGTTTTTTTTCCCTCAGGTTTCTCTTTAGTTGTATTAGTTTGTGTGTCTTGGCTGCATTTGGCAGAGAAGAGAATTTTGGACTTGTTCCTCTTTGCTTTTGGGAGCAAAATGCCAATTAATGAGAGGCCCCAAACCTTGTGGGCTTGCAGCTCTACTGTGTGTAGAGGCCAGATAACGTGGCTTTGCACTTCCTTGGTAAAAATTTCTTTTCCTGCTGAAGGGTGACTTCAGAAATAGGTTGTCCATGCTGGCAAGCGGTTCATGCTGGCAGCAGTGATAGAGTCCACAGGGGTTTCTGTTTCTAAATCTCTTACAGGAAATGTTCTGGTAGTAGTTAAAGGTGTTTTCTACCTCTAATCCTTATCTTGACTGTCTGTAGACAGGCACCAGAGATAGTCATGCTGTAGTTTGTGCCCTACTTGTTATGGGTCCAGGGTTTTGGTGCTTTTGAATCCTTATTAATGGTATCACAGAGTAACTAATATTCTCTCTTCCAAAGTATCTGTTAAGAGTCCCCCTTGGCTCCAGTGTAAGAAATATTTTTTCTTCTACACCTTGCATCCAGATGTCCTAATAGTAAGCAAAGGTGTTTTTAATGGTACTCTAAAGGTTGTATTAATGTAAAGTATTCTGAAAACCAGAGGGAAGGAGGTAAGAGTTTGCATGATAACATAAAGACTTCCTTGTCATTCTGTAAGTACTAATCTGTCAGTATATACTGTGAAACTACATACTAGATTTATGTATAAATATCGAGTCTAAATATAGAATCACGGACAGGTTTGGGTTGGAAGAGACCTTAACGCTCCTCCAGTTCCAGCCCTGTGCCACGGGCAGGGACACCTTCCACTAGAGCTGCTTGCTCCAAGCCCCTGTGTCCAACCTGGCCTTGAACACTGCCAGGGATGGGGCAGCCACAGCTTCTCTGGGCACCCTGTGCCAGTGCCTCAGCACCCTCACAGGGAAGAGCTTCTGCCTAAGAGCTCATCTCAGTCTCCCCTCTGGCAGGTTAAAGCCATTCCCCTTGGCCTGTCCCTACAGGCCCTTGTCCCAAGCCCCTCTCCACGTTTCCTGCAGCCCCTTTAGGCACTGGAGCTGCTCTCAGGTCTCCCCTTGAGGAGCCTTCTCTTGTCCAGGCTGCCCCAGCCCAGCTCTCTCAGCCTGGCTCCAGAGCAGAGCTGCTCCAGCCCTCGCAGCATCTCTGTGACCCCCTCTGGACTCGATCTGGCAGCTCCATGTCCCTCTTTTACTGTTGTCACCAACATAATGCTGTTCTCATCTCTCTCCCTCATTGCTATAAAGCAAACACTTTTTAAATTTTATTTTCCTTCTCCTAGGGTAGTCTACAATGAAGTCATACAGACTGCGAAATATTACATGAGAGATGTGACTGCTGTAGAATCTGCATGGCTCTTGGAACTGGCACCTCATTTTTACCAGCAAGTAGCAGTACAGGATCAGCATAAAGCCCAAATGGTACCATTGCTGTATTAGCAACTCTTGCATCTGAACTTCTAATGTGTTCGTGTTTTGTTGTTGTCTATTTAATGGTACAAAAATAATTTGGTTTTGTTAATTTAGTGGTTATAATATAAAAAGGAATATACTGAATTGATTCATGAAAGCTTTTTCCTTATAATCCAGCCAACAGACATGATCTCAAACTTACAAAATAGAGTATCACTAGTAAACGAAGCCTTCAACCATTTTACACTTGAATATAGGCACTTGGTAGGACTTTTCTGAGGAGCACTATGGGTAGGCAGTGGTTATAGGTTACATAATAATTTAGGAGAGTCTTTATATGCTTTGCAAATTTGAGTGGATTTAGAGCCTTTTTTTGAGCATTAATTACATTTACTAAAAAAAATAATAAAAATCTGCTCTTTTCAAAATTGAAATGGCAAAAGAAAGCTGCTATTTGTGCAAGGCTTTATTACAAATTCCGTTGCATGCACATACCTTTTAGAATCCCACACTGGTTTGGGTTGGAAGGGACCTCAAAGCTCCTCCAGCTCCAACCCCTGCCACGGGCAGGGACACCTTCCACCAGAGCAGCTTGCTCCAAGCCCCTGTGTCCAACCTGGCCTTGAACACTGCCAGGGATGGGGCAGCCACAGCTTCTCTGGGCACCCTGTGCCAGCGCCTCAGCACCCTCACAGGGGAGGGCTTCTGCCTAAGAACTCAGCTCAGTCTCCCTTCGGGCAGGTTATAGCCATTCCCCCTTGTCCTGTTGCATTCTGCAAGTGTGGTGTAAAAAGGAGATGAGCTCATGTTCCAGTTATATCAGATCTGTTCCCTTTTGGCTCATGTATTTACATGTTGCAACATCCCATAAACGGCATAATGTCCCCTTATGATATGACCTCTTCATGGGCTAAGTTTGGGGTGACTTCCTTCATGCTTTCATTCTGCACTTTGGTAGGCCTTGAAGAGCCTGGAGGTTCAACGGTCCAGTGCAACTATGGCTGCAGTGTTAATACATTAGTTAAAGTCTTGTACTTCATGCACCTACTCCTAGTGTGTGTGCAGCTGTGTTGCTGGGAGCACACACACCTTTATCTGCATTTTTACAGAAATACTAGAAGATTGTATTTTATACCAAGCCAGAATCACACTGTAGGTCTTCAATTTCATAGGTTTATTTTAGCAGTATCAGTAACAAGAAGAGCTTGGGAAGGGTTGTCTTTAATACTTGTATAAGAATTTCTTTAATTTGAAATGACTGAACACATTGTAGTTGAACTTTAGTCCAATTGTGCTGTATATGCTAATCAGTTTTTCTTTTCTTTTCTTGCAGCATCTTTCCTTGACAGCAAAACGGGCTAAAGTAGGAGACCAGTGATTTGACATGACTTAAGTCTTCTGTCATCAGATGCAGAGCCTACCAGTGATTTGAAGCTGGCTACAGTCCCTTCAGGAGTCAGTTCATTAGCAATTTGATCTTCCATCAACTTAAAAGTTTAAATGCCTGCCAGGATCTGTAGGGGTTTATGCATGACCAGCACATTGTAAACCTATGTAGAGCTTGCATTGTGCACATTTTATTCTTTGCCTACTTGACCACTGTTGTTAGTCTGGGCATGTTGCTCCTCCTAAATAGGTAGAAAAATAATTTACAAAGTAAGAGGACATACAAGACCACAAAAACCTGAATGAAACCTTCAAGAAGGAGACTGATTTCCTAGAGTGGTATGGCTGCCTGATGAGATGCAGAACAGGGTACCCTGCCTCCTATTACCTAGAGCACTGTGACTAATACTGGCCAAACTGAGCCTAGCTCCTGACAGCAGGAGCTCAGGGCAATGAACTAGCCCTTGAAATACAAGGTGCTGACAGCAAAACATTGATTCCACATTGGACCATCCCAAACTGGTGCAGCAGAAGTCTCCTGGCTGTGGTCGAGCTGCCCCTGGCTCCCTGTGCTGTGACAGTCCTTCTGTAGGACAGTGTCTTGTTCCCATACACAAGAATTCAGCTTGGGGAGAGGAAGAAAGAGCAGCTCAGTGTTTCTTTTAGAAAGATAAAGTTTTTGCTCAGTCAGGGGATAGTGCTTTGCTTTTTTTTTTTTTAATTATTTTTTCCTAACAAGTGAAAAGATGGAGCTTCACTGCTTGGAAACCCCAGAAGATTTGAGCAGGGGTTTATCATGCAGCACTGTTTTTTTAGCAAAGAGGAAAATGCTCTGTCCTTTCCTATAAAGAACACAATCCTATATGTTTCTTTTATTAAGGATCTGTTCTTTGTTGCTTGGGACTCTCCTTCATGTGTTATTGAAGAGAAAGGTGTTCTGAACAGTTGCTGCTTTAATCAGACTCCATGGCTGCTTTTCAGTAAGGAACTGCACATTTTGGATACGTATATTTATTTTAGAAACACATTGTTTGAAAATGTCCTTTTTGTGAGGCAGCTGATGTGATGGGTGGGTTTGGGCATCTCGACTAGAATTTTATTTTCTTTTTTAAAAAAAGGATGTAAATAGGCAAAAATTTCTACATAGAACAAATGCCTTCCTCATCACAGGGCTGCCTTTAGAACTTTCTTGAGAGCTTCTTTACCCTCTCCCTTCCAAACACCTGCAGAGGGAAGATGTGTCATGTGCAGTGTGTGTCTGCTCAGTGTCTCTGTACTGACTGCCAGCACAAAAAGCTGTACCAGTCTCTGTGTATAGCACCAGCAGCATGACAAACCACATTACCTTCCTTCTTGTTTCCCTGTGAACCTCATCTTTGGATTTCTGTCTCTTAGAGTGGAAGCTCTTTGGGGCAGGGACTGTCTCCTAGCCAGAGCCCAGAACAGTGTTGGCACTTACTAAAAAGATTCAATTTGCAGGTGTTTTTTTTCTCTCTTAAAGGGTTGGGGAAAGAGCTAAAGATGAAGATGTAAAATGTGCATGTCTCTGTCCTCTGGAAGTATTGTGATGCAAAATAAAACCATTGAATCAAGGAAGCTTGAGAGTGCATCGCTTCTGCCTGAGTAGTGGGCGATTCCTCAGCATACAGGACAGTTGTAGTGAGCTGGTCTGACCTGGGCTGGGATGGCAGTGGATGACCGCTTCGCTGCTGGTTCTGGGCATTTCTGGTGGTTCTGGAAAACTCTCTTCTCTGGGTGCTCCCTTACCTGGCTGTGCAGCTGCCAGATTTTCTCTTGGAATGATTGTGAGTCCTGCTGAGTTCAGACCCAGGGAGGTACAGCTTCGGGCCTGCTGTGAGCAATTGTGCTTTTAGAACAAGTGCAATAGGTCTTTGTAAACAAGACCAGAAACTGAGCCTTGGGTCTTCAGCAGTTTTACAAACTGCTGAGGCTTTGCCAGAGGTGCAGACACAGAACAGGCAGACTTTGTACTAGCGAGGCAGTCTAAAGAGAGTACCCTGGAGAGAAAGCACTCTTTGCATCAGAAATGTGGACTCTTTGAAGGTGTTTGAAGACAGAGCCCCAAAACATAGAAGATCTGAAAATCTCTTTACTTTGTAAAATGCTGGCCTACGTCTCTCACCTAGATTTATACATAATATTAGGCTTTAAATAACTTTGATTGAGGAGATGAGTAACTGTGCCTTGTTCTTGGCTCTTTGCTGCATAAAGAGTCTGTGCTGTTGTGGGGGAGGCCAGAGTCATTTGAACATGGTTGTCAGGAGTTTATGAAACAGATTATAGATTTTAAACCTGGCTTTTAGAGAGTGAGGTTAAAATACAAGGGTCTTGAATCAAAAGCCTTATGTTGGCATGAAATAGAAGTCATGCCACCACTGGCAAGGAGATATATTGTTTTGAAGAGTAAATTTGCAATCCATTAATGTCAAATTACCATGGAGGGAAAAAAAAAGCTATACTCCACAAATCCATCAGGAAGTGCTCTCAGTGCTCCTAGTCATTACCTTAGTATTGCCTGTTATAAAATAAGATGTAGCTAAATCGGAATAAAATTTGGCTGAGACAATATTAATTGAACTGTATTTTGCATCTTGTAGATTAAAAATAATCCTGATATACTGATGGAAGAAGAGACACAAATCTCCCTGGTTCCTCTGGAGGCAGAGACAATTGATTAAAGACTAAAATGAAAAAAGGGAAATAAATAAGGGAGAGATGCTGTTTCGTCTTGGTGCATGATGGTAAAAGTGCCTGTATAATGCAATGCCAGGTTGGACTGGGCTTGGAGCAAGCTGCTCTAGTGGAAGGTGTCCCTGCCTGTGGCAGAGGGTTGGAACCGGGTGAGCTTTAATGTCCCTTCCCCACCCCAAACTGGGCTATGACTCCATGATACGTAATTGAGTGATCACCCAGCAATGTTCTCTAAAGGTACATCAAGGTAATGTGATGTAACTTATTTTTAAGCTGAGTTCATTTTATACATGTCCTATGAGAAGCACAGATAGGCACTGGGAAAAGAGGTAAGCATGTATCTTTTACCAACCCCCCCTAGTTTAGCAGAACCAGGTACCTGTGTAACTCATTCTAGTTCTGGTGGTTCAAATCCCTTCTGGCTCCTGGGCAAGGACAGTTACTAGTTTCCTGACGCAGCAAATGTTAACAGGACAGAGGTGCTGAGGTGGGAGGGCTGGAGCAGCGTTACTGCATGGGGAATGTGAGGCCCTAGAAATGTTCGTTAAAACCAGCTGTATTCTTCACAAACTCTTTCTGATTATGAGGGAGGGATGGGCTGCGCTGGTTCTGCTGGGAGCCTTGGTGGTGGGAAAGGAAGAGCAGAGCAGCAGAGCGGAGTCTGCAGGGAAGGGGCAGGATTTCTTCACCATGGGTTCACCTTGTGGCTCACGCAGGGCATTGGCTGATGACTGCTCTGGGTGCTGCCGAGCAGGTAGTTACTGAGCTGCTGGCTTGGTCAGTGGGAAACAGCTTCCAGAAGCTGATTGGGAATGAATTAGCAGAGCCAGTACTGCTGTGCTTGTGCCCTTTGTGTGACCGTGGTAATGGAACCCCCAGCCACCAGGAAAGTCTGTCCTTGTACCCAGTTTCTGGATGTTCTCAGACTTGCAGAGGTTTTGTCCCTGGGAGATTGGACGGGGTTTTATTTCTGTCAGTTTAAACTCCGTCTTTTTCTGGAAGCTTTCTCAAAGATGAGTTTTGGGCTCAAACCTGACCGCACTTTGAGCAAGGTGCCGGTAGGTGGCAGGCGACGGTTTCGAGTGGTTCTATTTTGGAGACCAAGTACAAGACCGGTTCATCCTAATGTTTTCCTGCTCCTTCAGTTCTCCCATTTGGCTGGTTTAGTGGTAAGTGGGATGAGAAAGGGTAAAGGAAAAAGCTATCGTTAGGGTGGGATAAAGTATAATTTGTAGTGTGGTGATCAGAGGAAAAGCCCATAGTGCTGTGTGCCCCTCTGGTTTCCCTGCAGCCAGAGGCATGAGTTCCCTGCTTTGCTTGTGCAGCCTCTGCCTGCAAGGGTCCTGTAAGGTCAGTGGGTCTCAGACCTGACCAGGAGGTCGCCCACTGGCTCCCTGTACACCCCATCCTGTGCTACTTTGCTGGGCAAAGTCAAAACTTCCAGGAGAAAGAGCAGGACATAGATCAAAAACTTGCAATGGCTTCTTGGCTCCCTTCAGGCCAAGAAATAGGTTGTTCATTGCAGGTGACTGTTGGCACAAAGATAATCCTTTTGGACAGGGCATGTTTTGATGCCATGAAGCATCCTCCATGGGACTTGTGCTGTTTCTCTTTTCAGGATCTGGTGAGATAACCAGGGTTTCACAGAGCCACAGACTGGTTTGGGTTGGGGAAGGGACCTTGACACTCATCCAGTTCTAACGCCCTGCCACGGGCAAAGACACCTTGCGCTGGAGCAGGTTGCTCAAACAGGTTGTTTATAAGTGACCCATGAGCTGTGCAACAGCCAGGCTGAAGCGAGAGCAGGGAAAGAACCTTTACAGGTGAGCTAGGTCCTGAAAGAGCCAGGCTCATGTTCAGTCCTGCTGCTAAGAGCAGGATGTTTGTAAGGCAGAGTTGATACTCTCTTCTTCCTATTCTTCCCCTTGCCTGTTACTTCTCCGGGAGGCTAAAGACTGTTTCTAAATGTGCGGGTATGCACATGAGAGTTTGGTACGTGGGACAACAGGGCACAGACATGGCCATGGTGAAGGCATGCTTGTCCCCCTTCCTTGAGAGCACAGGGAGCCCCCAGGATTGCACTATTCAAAATGTCCCCACTGCTGCTGTTCTGCAGGCAGGATTTGTGGCATGTGAGCATGTCTGCAACACGCGCTATGGTAGATCTGTGTATCATTACTGTAATCCATCTTTGCACCTTTCCATTTAAGTGCCATTTGAAGGCCTCCTGAGCATGTGCTGGACCACAGGGAAGACTTATGAAGATGAGGGAAGAAGTCCAAGTGGACAACACTTGTCATTAAGTGAAGAATGAAGGGAACAGTGGTGCAAGGAGGGCTGCAGGTATATGCCTGATAAGAATAGCTGCTGCTCTGGACCTGCTCTACATCCTCCTGCTGTTCTCCATATGTGAAAGCTGTTTATAGATGCCTCCTAATTCTTGTCCTTTTGTCACCGAGTCCTTTT